GTGACAAACAGTCAGTAACTCACCACAATCACTGACTTGGCCTGTTCACAGAACTGAAGGTCTCCATACCGAACTGACTTCCTGCCCTGAACACACACACACACGCACACACACACACACACACACACAGCAGGGGATTACAACATGTAACCCTAACATGTAAACAGGTGTGTTTGTCTCTTTCCAAGCTGTGTCAGCAGATAACTGCACTGCATGTATCACTGCATGTACACTGTGTACAGCGTGTATTAGTAAGTGTATTACCCGCAGTGACACACGCAGTGTACATGCAGCTACACTGCAGGTGTCTGCATGTGTTACTGCGTATATAACTGCAAGTATTACTGCATGTGTTATGTGTCACGGCGTGTGCTGTTGCGTGTAACTACGTGTATTACTGCATGTATCACTGCTCCTGTCTGCGTGCATTGCTGCGTATATCACTGCTTCTGTCCGCAAGCAATACTGCCTGTATTACTGCGTGTATTACTGTGTGTATTACTGCGTGTATTACTGCGTGTATTACTGCGTGTATTACTGCGTGTATTACTGCTTCTGTCCGCACACAATACTGCCTGTATTACTGTGTGTATTACTGCGTGTATTACTGTGTGTCACTGTGTGTATCACTGCAAATCACCGCATTTCTTTCTGTGAGCATTACTGCAGGTACTCTGTGGGTGTTAAGGCATGTACTACTGTGTCTTACTGTGTGCGTTACTGCATGTGTCAATGCGTGTATTATTGCGTGTTTACTGACGTCTCGGTCCACAGTGGTGGCGAAGCTGACCGCCTCCTTCTGGCTGCAGTTGACAGCTTTCTGTAGCGTGTAGATCACCTGTTCATACGTGTGGACTTCATCATTGAACAGCATGCAGTAGTAGGTGTCGCCTCTCTCTCTACGCGCACACACACACACACACACACACACACACACACACACACACACACAGATATAAGTACACACAGTACTGCACTACTAATGTTGTTCATTTTATCAGTCAGAAACTGCACACAGAAAGAAAAGTACGATTTTCAACTTCAGGCGATTCTGACGGTGTGTGACGTGTTTCCATCAGACAATGAGTCAAATCACACACAAACTCAGCCCGATCCAAAATCACCTCATTTTAAAATAAGACAGAACTTCATCTATCCCAAAGGAAATTCCTGTGACAGATACTGCTCAAAAACTTTCCACACTTTTTTCAGACTCTCCAAGAATAAAACAACTGCACAAGATCCTGTAGAACCAGAACATTCCTCCTCCTGGTTCTGATCCTGTAGAACCAGAACCTTCCTCCTCCTGGTTCTGATCCTGTAGAACCAGAACCTTCCTCCCCCTGGTTCTGATCCTGTAGAACCAGAACCTTCCTCCTCCTGGTTCTGATTGACTCTGGTTCTGACTCAGCTGTGACCAACAGGAAACATTCAGAGAGTTTCAGGTGAGCTGCAGCCAGAGTTTCCTCAGAGAGACTGAAGGAGAATCCATCCTACTGGATCAATGAATAGATGCAGCACGGATCAGAACCAGAGACCAGAGGAGCCCGTTGGTGGAGACTGTTCTGGTTCCACAGAGCTGCAGAACATGAGTGTATGTGTGTTACTGTTGTAAATCTGTTGTGTTAGTGTGTGTGTCTGTTGTGTTACTGCGTGTACGTACGGAGGCTCCAGCCCTGCAGGCAGCAGATCCTCCTGCTCCCAGGTCAGCAGGTCCACAGCATATTTCAGGATGATGGAGAAGATGCTGTAGCTGCGGGCAACCAGGTCAGGAGGCAGCAGGGACACGGGGTCCTGGAGA